ATCTGTTCTTGGGGCTTTATTTTTTGCCAAGTCCTTCAGAGCAGTCTGCTATTCCTCACAAGACAGAAAGGGTACAGCCAACACAATGCTGGAAATAACAGAAAAGCATGAAAAGGTAATCCAGAATTGTTGTTGTTGTTATGTGCCATTGAGTCGCTTTCAACTCATAGAGAACCAATGTACAACAGCCCTAAACTCCGCTCTGTCCTGTGCCAATCACACCATCTCCAACACACCCATCCCAATTGCCCCAGTCACTGAATCAATCCACCTCATAGAAGACCTTCCCTTCCTGTGCTGTTCTTCCACCCTACCAAGCACGATGTCCCTCTCCAAGGACCTGTCCCTCCTTACAACATGCCCAAAATATGTGAGACTGAGCCTCAGAATCCTTGCCTCCAAGGAGCCACCCAGTTTGACCCTTGCCAGGATGAATCTGCTTGTTTTCCTACCAGTCCTTGGTACCCTCAATAGTCTTCTCTAGCACGACAGCTCAAAGGCATAAATTCACCTTCTATCCTCCTTAGTCATTGTCCAACTCTCTGATGCATAACAAGTGATTGTGAAGACCATGACCTGTATCAGATGCACCTTGGTCCCCAGAGAGACACCATTGCCCTTCAGTACTTTGCAGGGGTCCCTAACAGCAGACTTTCCCATGGCAATACATCTTTTAATTTCCTGTCTACTTGTGCTGAGAGTGTTGGCTGTGGAGCCAAGCAAACTAAAGCTGTGAACAATCTCAGTCTCTTCACCATCCATTCTGATGCTGCCAATTGGTCCAGTGGTGAGAATCTTTGTCTTCTCGACATTGAGGCTCAATCCATATTGGAGGCTGCAGTCCTTGACCCTCTGCAGCAAGTGCTTCAGGTCCTCCTCACTTTCTGCAAGCATATCGCAGATTGTTGATAGATCTTCCACCAATTTTGACCCCACATTCCTCCTCATAGAGCCCAGCCTCCCAGATAATCTGTTTTGCATACAGGTTGAAAAGGTATGGAGACAGGACACATCCCTGGTGCATGCCTTTCCCAATTTTGAACCATGCAGTGTTTCATTGCTCTGTTCTGACGACTGCCTCCTGGTCTAATTATAGGTTTCTCATTAGCACAATCAAGTGTTCTGGGATTCCCATTCTTCTCAGAGTCAGCCACAGGTTGTTATGATCCACACAGTCAAATGCCTTTGCATAGTCAATGAAACATTCCTCTGGTGTTCCCTGCTTTCAGCCAAGATCCTTCTAAGATTAGCTACAATACCCTAGTACCACGACCCCTTCTAAACCCAGCCTGGACTTCTGGCAGTTCTCTGCTGATGTGCTGTTCCAGTCGTTTTTGGATCATCTTCAGTAGAATTATGCTTGCATGTGAAATTAATGAGATTGTTCTATAGTTTCCATACTCTGTTGGGTCACCCTTCTTTGGGATGGGAGCAAATATAGATCTCTTCCAGTCAGTTGGCCAAGTGGTTGTTCTCCAGATTTCTTGGCATAACTTGGTGAGCACATCTAGGGCAGCATCTGTTAGTTGAAATATGTCGGTTGGTATACCATCTATTCCTATGGCCTTATATTTTGTTATTTCCTTCAAAGCAGCTCACACTTCTTCCTTCATCACCATAGGCTCTTGCTCATATGTTGTTTCATGAATTTCTTCTGTGTCTGCCAATTCCTTTCGATACAGTGACTCAGTATATACTTTCCATCTTCTTTTAATACTTCCTGGATCATTTAATATTCTGCCTAAAACATCCTTGATTATAGCAACTCGAGGTTTGAATTTGTTCTTCAGTTCCTTGAGATTAAGAAATGCTGAGCAAGTTCAGTCCTTTTGATTTTCTGACTCCAACTCCTTGCACATTTCATTGTAATATTTT